AAAATATGTGACTTTTGTTGCATGGAAAACAACCTGCAGTACATTTCACTAGAAATTTATAAAACCTGTTTTCAGGAATTATGATTTTAACAGAAATTTAGAGCTACAGAAAATTTAGAGCTACAAAAATATAGAAAAAGATAATTTCTCAGAAAAAGAAAGAAAAAAAAGCAAAAACCAAAAAAAGCTTTAATTAAACACTTTTAGAGTTACAAGGTGGAAATCAGGCAAGGCAGCACACACCTGCGATCCCAACTACTTGTCATGTTGAAACAGAGGGAATGTATTTCCAAGCTAGTCCAAGCAAATATAGCAAGACTCTATCTCCAAAACAAAATGGGATAGAGGAGGAAATGATTAAAGGGATGGCATTAAGATATACTGTATTCACAAACTGATAAGTAGAATTTAAACCACTTTGTACAACTACTTAAATAGTTAACAACAACAAATGTAAAAAGAGGCTGAGTTGATGTGGTTCAAGTGAATTAATAATAAAATTTTAACTAATAAATATGTCTTTTCCCTTCCACTCACATCCTCTCTTCCCTCCTTCCCTTCTCCTCCTTTCTCTCTTTTCCACACTCTTTTTCTTTTGTTTAGTAACAGTAGTAGCATTTTGAATTCAGGGCTTTAAGCTTGCTAGCTAAGTGTTGTACCACTTGAGCTCCACTCTCATTCCAAAAGCAATATTTTATAGTACAATATATATCATTTATGAAGTTCCATTTTTATTTCTAATAACCTAACTCAATTCTTATGCGTTGCAATTGAAAATATAACTGTAAATATATATGTGTATTTGGCAACTATATATATAACTATACCACACTTTTTCTTCCTAAAAATTAATAATTTTTAAAAATGAATATTTGTTCTTCAGTTTCTATTTAGTATTTAAACCACCAAAATCTCACTTGAAGTAAGAGTAGTTTTCTGAAGTATTCTGATAAGAGGAACAACAACCTAAAATTCTCAAATTCCATGACATGCTTTATTCCTTATCTTACTGAGCAACTCAACTGCAATTATAAAGAACCCAATCCTTGGTCTTCCATTAGATAACTTGTGTCTTGTTCCCTTTACTTGAACTTTTATTTGTAACTTCCATCACCTGCTGTTCCTTTCCTTCTCATTCAATAAGCATTAGTCCTCCCATTTAATCTGTCATTATTTAATTGATTTACATGGTCTCATCATTTTTTCTGTTTTTTGCTTTAACTGATGGTTTCCTCCTACCTTTTGTATCTCAAGCTAAGGCCCCAGATAAGAGATCTGGATCCATATGTGCAGCAGCTCATTAGACCTATTTACTTGAGTACTCCGTGGAGGACTTTACAGCATGCACCGAAATAAATTCATGTATATCACCTTACATTTCCAAACTTATCCTTCTTCTATTCTAACCATAATATTGACTATATAAATTTCTATTCAGACATCTAAGCTATGGAACATGTTATTCTTTAATTTTCTCCTTCACTATCCATAATTACATTAGCACTGTTTGGACAGAATTTTGTTAACTTCTTTAATATTCCTTGGTTCTATCCAAATCACTGTAACAATTACCACTTACAATGATTCTTTCATTTTTAGAAAACTTGAATAACTGGCTAGTATATAAGCAATCTCACTGTGTCCAATTTTCTTTCCTTAAGCTATCTCCTCCCAATCCATTGTCTGTACTTAGCAAAAAACATTTACTAACCAGAAATGACCTGGACACAAAACAACAGATATCAAAGGAAAAGGGCACAATAGGAAAATTCAGTGGATTTACCTATTCCACATCTGAATATAACTGATTAGAAATGTTAGCAACATTTATCTATATTCTGCCACCATCAAAAATGACACTGTGGAATTGGGGGAGCATTATAAATCCAATGTCCATGAGAATAAGACAGAATAAGCTGGGTGACATAACTCATGCCTAACTGTTCAGAAAGCTATAATCTAAGGACTGCAATTCAGAAGCAGCCTAAGAAGAAAAACCCTTGAGACTCTTAATCTCCAAATAACCAGCAAAAAGTTGGAAGTGGAGGTGTTTCATGTAGAGAGAGGCAGCAATGAGTGAAAAAGCTAGGTGACAGTATGAAGTCTTGGGTTCAAACCTCAGTACCGGCACAAAATAATAAAAGAATAAGACAAGGTATAACAGAAAATAAGATTTAACAAAACTTTTTAAAATCAGAAGTGACTTAGGAAAAGAAAGGCAAGTTATTTTTAAAAGTATTTCAATATGCAAATATAGCTGAAAAAGAATGCAAGAGTGATATTATAACCAGGAATACCACTTTAAAAACTGGTAAAACAAGTAAACAGTTCTTTATCTATGTATGTACAAGTAAAACAAAGAGTAAATAACTCAACATATATATACCAAATGGTTACACTAAAATTATAAACCCAATTTATAAAAATGATAAATTATATACTTTCCTAAATTCATTAATATACTTCCCCAAAAATGTAACTATTTAAAGCAAAGGATTAAAGAAAGCTAGAATTTCAAGATAAACAAATGTACTTCAGGATGGGTAGGATTGAACATCCATGTTCACAACGAAGGCTAATTGAAGATAAAGCCCAGAGCCGACTCAAAATAAAGGCATTATCAGCCCTGCACTATTGGCTTGTGCTTTTAATCCTAGATAGTTAGGAGGCAGTCTTTAAAGGCCATGTAGGCAGAAAAGTTGCTAGGTTCCATCTCCAAAATAACCAGCAAAAAGCAAGACTGGAGGGATATCTCAATTGGCAAAACATCAGCCTAGGAAGCTCACAAGGCCTTTAGTTCAAATACCAGCATGGCAAAAAATAAAATAAGTAAAAAAAATACATTATCAAATGAATAAAATTGAGAGTTCCTAATATCTGACCATCAGAAAAAATCAATTTTAAATAATCTGAAAAGGAAGAAGTGTTACAAAAAGGAAAGATTAGCGAAACCCTAGTACAGGGGCCAGCAAAGAAGATGTAGGGCCAAATTTTTACTTCTATCAGATTTTGTAAATAAAATTTCATTGGAACATTATGCTGATTCATTAACATATTGTCTATAGATGCTTTGGGACTATGAAACAGTTGAACACCTTCAAAATAAATCATATAACTGATGTAAACAATATATTAATCATCTAAATCATTACTAAAAATTTCCTAATCTCTGCAAAATACATGTCAATCTAAACAATTATATCAGTATAAAATAAAATGACATCTTAAGAAGTTTTTTTTAAGTTAAAAGTTGACAATAATCTGTAAATTTGGAAATGAAGATTAAAGTGCTTGAAGATTTGCATATTGTTCAAGAAGAGGGTAATTGGTATGTCACATAATTTAACAAACTGACTATGTACCTTTATATTTCTAGAACTGTAGTTGACCTGATGAAGGCATATTGGTTTTGAAGATCAAAAAAATGAGCAATAATGAAGGGATACTTTGAGTAAGAGAAATAACAAATAATAAGAAAGTAAAAAAGACAAACCATAGACAAGAAGATGTTTGGGAGATGAAAATGTTCTAAAAAATCTACGATGAACAGGACTGTACTGTTAGATCACTAAACTGTTTCCTTTATAAAGAATTTTATGACATATAAATTGTAGCTTAAGAAAATCATTATTTGACTATTAGTGGATTTGATTTTTAATGCCATTTTTTAGTTTTACAAAAATTATCAATCTTAAAGAAAAAAAAAAGCATAGCCAGACGCTGGTGGCTCACATCTGTAATCCTAGCTAATCAGAAGGCTGAGATCTGAGGATGGTGGTTTGAAGCCAGCCTGGGAGCAAAGTCCTAGTGAGACTCTATCTCCAACTAAATACTAAAAAACTGGAAGTGGAGCTGTGGATCAAAGTGGTAGAGTGTTATCCTTGATATCCCGGGCTCTGAGTTCAAGCCCCCCATGACCAAAAATAAAACAAAAAATAGCATGCCATAATTCATTTTATGAGGATAAAATAACCTTGATATGTAACACAATAGCTGTTATAATAAAGAACTTCTAATAACCAAAAGCAAATAGGAAAGAATATCAAAGATGCTAAAGAAAGGATCCCTGAATTAAGACTACGTGAGAACTTCTTAAGTTTCCTCTAATACTTAGAATTCCATTATTTTTATCTTAATGGTATTCAAAATATTAAAGACCAATATTAACATCTGGTAGTAAAATATAGCTTCCAGTTAAAAAAACTAATTTTAATGGAAATGTCAGTAGAGAAAAAGTGAAATCAACATCAAAGTTGGAGTCAAACATTTAAATCTATCTGCTGTTCTATTATTTAGCAATCTAAATAAAAGAATTCATACACTTACATCCAAATAATATGAACAAGGTGTTGACCTATTTAGCACTGTCAAAAACGTGAGGCTTGTTATTAAAATATAGATTCACATTACTTACGTTGTGACTTAAAACTTTTCTAGGTTCACAGTTTGTTTGAAAAGAGTATGTCAGAGTTCAAAAGGGAATGAATTCGCAACTGAAAACCACCTCAATATAAGAAATTAAATACATATTGGGAAAAGAAGCATAGCTATAATTTTTGACAATTATTTACTTTGTATAAATAAGAAATCTAAAAATATATTATGCTTGAGGTAAATAATATATTCCATTATTCTAGTATTTATGTTATTTATATGTAATATAATTCATAAGTCAATTGGCTTCAATTAAGATCAAACTACTTACCATTTCCTATTTCAGTATAATGAAATCAATTTTCTTTCAAATTAATTTTTCTTGCAATTACATTTTAGTGATTATGTTATACTGCAGATAATACCAAATAATATACATTCATTTAGGTGAATTAAAAGGTATGAATGACTACAATTTAAAGGTATGAATAACATTAAACTATACCAGCTCAGTTATTTGTCCACAGAAATCTTTCAATGAGTTGACTTAACATGTGTACTAGAACATTAAAAAAACTAAAAATATCAGTTAAAAGTAATAGTCACAAGAAGATTTTTTAATGTACCTTCTTCAAGGATGGGCCGTGGGATAACAAAAGGGATTTCCTGCAGAGGTTCCATATGTTTGTGACCAGCACTAATAACCTTTATTTGAGGTAGACAGAGGATAAGTGTTCCTGGCATGCTGCACTGGCCGTGGTACCAACTTCTTACTGTTCCAGGAATGTCACCAGATACAATTGTACTTGGGGAAGGCAGACTATCATTTGGAATGAACACACAACAAGATTGTAATTCAAGCTAGAAAAGAAAAAGAGAATTAAAATATTTGGATCAGACTAAACACATATTTGAAAACCTTGACTATTCATCATAATAAACATTCAAGCCAAGAATGAAAACATATCCTATGTATGACTTTATAACCTTCTCTACTAAGAAACGTAATAAACCTTTAAAAATATTTTTTACTATCCCATTTTTAAATATTTTTATTTTCTTTCAGCAATTGTACAAAGGAGTTGCCATTCAATAGAGCAGTTTATGAATACAGTATCTCCTGATCAGTGTCACTCCTTTTAACATTCTCACCCACCCTCCCACCGCTTCTCTCTTTTCTTAATTTTTGGGTTTTGTATTGAATTGTTTTGCCATTTAACAAAGTAATTATGTATACAATGCATCTTGATCTGTGTCATCCCTTCAATATCTACATCCCCCTTTCACCCATTCCTTCCATTGTTTTTCACAATTCTGTGACATATACATTCTTGCCTCATTCTGCTCATTTCTCCCTTTCATTCTTTCACCCTGTTCCCCTTGCCCCCACCACTTGCAAGTATCCAAGTCCTAGAACTTATTTTGTTGGGCTTTGACTTAGTCTTTCTAAAGAATTACACTATTTGTGTTCCCCACAGAGTCTATCGTACTTCAGTTAATTCATTTACAACCCACTGTGCTTACTTCTAGGTTTATAAGCACATTCTAGCTCCAACAAATGAGTGATACCATGCATGTGTTTCTCTAGGTCTAGCTTACTTTACTTAATATACTTTTTTTCCAAGTCTCTCCATTTCCTTATGAATGGTACAATATCATTGTTTCTGATGGATTAGTAGAACTTCATCATGTATATATACCACATTTTCTTGATTCATTTGTCCACTAAGGAGCATCTGAGTTGTTTCCATACCTTGGCTATGATAAATAATAATACTGCAATAAACATGGCTGTGGTAGTGACTTTAGTGTATCCTTGTTTGTGCTCTATTGGATAAATGGATAAATGCCCAGAAGGGGAATTGCTCAGTAATAGGGTAGTTCTTTTTTTTTTTTTTAAGACCCTCATTACTGCTTTCCAGAGTGGTTGAACAAGCTTACATTCCCACCAATAGTTGTAACTGTTAATTTTCTTGATAATGGCCAATCTAACTAGGGTGAGGTAGAATCTCAGTGTTGTTTTCAGTTGCATTTCCTTTTTGGCCAGAGATGTTGAACATTTCTAAGAAAAGATTTTTTTAATGCTGTAATCTTGATCAAAACCACTCACTGACACAAGATGAAAATATATTTGCCATCCCATGGTTCTATCCAAAAAATATAATTAAGTTAAAAAATATGCTAGCAAAAACAGGTGAGAAAAAAATCTTTCTTTTACAGTTTATTAAACTTTATTAAAATGGAACAGATAAGGCCTTACAACTGTTTACTTTTATTAAAAAATGTTTTCTATATGAATTTTGCTCTGAAGTATTTATTTTTAGATTTATAGAAAATACTTAACATGATACATTAGTTATGTTTGACAGCACAATTTAAAAGGAACAATACAGGCATATTCTCTATTGATTTAGACTAAAAGGTCAAAATATGAGTAATGCATTTAATACTTCACATAGACAGTAATGCTGTGTTGAAAAATGTTTTAAAAAAATGTGAAGGGCGGGGCTGGGAAGGTGGCTCAGTGGTAGAGTGCTTGCCTTGCATGCCTGAGGCCCTGGGTTTGATTCCTCAGCACCACATAAGCAAAAAGAAAAAAGCCAAAAATGGCGCTATGGCTCAAGTGGTAGAGTGCTATCCTTGAGCTGAAGAGCTGAGGAACAGTGCCCAGGCCCAGAGTTCAGGCCCCACGACCGGACCCAAAAAAAAAAAAAAAAAAAAAATGTGAAGGGATAGTATGCTACATATGCAAATGTGTGTATAGATACAGATATATCTTTAGATACAAATTTTAATGGTGCCAAATCTCAATTTCATAGTTAAGACACCTAAAATTTCACTAGTTCACACTGAATAAGGCATAAAGAATCATCAGTGAATGGGCCTGAGATGTGAAAACTCTGAAAGATAAATTTTCTAAAATATGATATATATTGGGAGGATTCCTTTAATGATAAGAATATATATAAAATCTAACCTATTCAACTATTCAAAATTATTATAAAGTTATATTTTATATATACTGAGCCTATCACATAAATCTTTTTACACTTTTTAAATAACTGTTAAACTGTATGTCTAAAATTGTGGTTTTAACATAAAAAATGTTGAGTGATTTATATTACTGAATATAAATCTGCAGCAGTAAATTTTGCATTAATGTAAGGATCTGACAATCCAAGGGGAAGAAAATGAAGTAATCTGCCAGTAAGACGTCCTGAAGCTGGGGGTCAGTTCATGTTCATGGAAACCATCTGGTTGGGACCCTCTGAACCACACCAAACACAAGTGATCTTTTAAAAAAATATCCTATTCATTAATGCATCACAGCTGCACTGAGTGTTACTTCATTTTTCCATGGCAACATCCTTTCTGTTTCAAGGATCTTGTTTCAGTTTTGGTAGCAACGTATTCTTTTGCCAATATTGAACACATTCATGTGTTAAAGTAAAGGGATTATTACAAATTCTTGAAATAGAACCACCTCTATCTGGATTCCTATTAGATCAAGGGCTACACATCTAAGTCTCATACACTGAGAATAAACCAATACAGTAAAAATTGTTTGCAATTCTTACTTTAATAAAAGAAATGACTGCAACTTAATTTTCTGAAGTTTCAAATGTATGTGTATTTTAAAAAAATATATGTCATTGTTCTTCCTTAACCTTAGTTTTACTGACTTATGTGGCCTATAATTATGATTGCAACTCAGTTAAAAAGAAGAGATGTGTATGCTGGTGGATCATGCCTGTAATCCTAGCTTTTAAGGAGGTTGAGAACTGAGGACTGGGGTTCAAAACAGCTCAAGCAGAAAATCTAGGAGACTTCCATCTCCAAATAACCAGCAAAAAAGTCAGAAATGGAGGTGTGGCTCAAGTGGTAGAGTGCCATCTTGAAGCAAAAAGATCCAAATGAGAGCACTAAGTCCTGATTTCATGCCCCAGTACTGAAACAGAGAAGGAGAAGAAGGAAGAGGGAGGAGGAGGAGGAGGAAGATGAGAGGGAGGAGGAAGAGGAGGAAGAGAAGGAAGAGGAAAAGGAGGCTATGTTTAATTTACATATTAAGCTGAAAATCTTAGCAAGTGGCCATTATATCAAACACTTGATATATAAAAACTGCCGTATTTTCACTTAATAACACTATCTCCTATTCTAAAATAACATGTTCCTATTTTTTTACACTTGAAACTTTAGAGCTAATCAGATTGCATAAAATTTCTACATAATGACTTTCCATATATGAATGCAGTAATCTTCATGAAAGCAAATTAAAAATAAAAGTGAATGCTGAAAATTGTACTTCATTCATATTTCTCTTATTCATGAACTAAGCCAGAAGCTAGCAACAAAAATCCCCACAAAGCCGGGCGCTGGTGGCTCACGCCTGTAATCCTAGCTACTCAGGAGGCTGAGATCTGAGGATTGCGGTTCAAAGCCAGCCCGGGCAGGAGAGACCGTGAGACTCCTATCTCCAATAAACCACCAGAAAACCAGAAGTGGCGCTGTAGCTCAAGTGGTAGAGTGCTAGCCTTGAGCTGAAGAGCTGAGGGACAGTGCCCAGGCCCAGAGTTCAAGCCCCACGACAAAAAAAAAAAAAAAAAAAAATCCCCACAATCTTTCATGTGCAATGCCTAAGAACATATATTAATATTAATATCCTCACAGAACACTCACTAGGATGTAAGCTCTATCAAATCAAATGCTGCCTGTTTATTTTCATTCTGTAATACATGCTACAGTGTCTAGTATTTATTAGATATTCAATAAACAGTTAAATAAGTGAATATGATTTTTATTTACAGGTATTAAAATAACTACTTCTAAAATACTGTTCAAAATTTTATCCCATCACACTGGGCATAGGGGAGCATACTTACATTCACAGTACTTCAGAGGGAAGGATCCTGGGTTTGAAGCCACAGCAGGCTATGCACATATACATATACAATATATAAAGTGACATATATATATATATATATATACACACTCACACCAAGCTTTAATCTATCCTAAACTATATATCATAGCAATACCCTACATCACAAGCAACAGCAAAATGAAGTCATACCACCTAACTCTTCTAAAAGTAACTAAGCTAAGAAGTTCTGAAAAATAGGTTCTTATATGTGGGCATCACATATTTAGTTTTCTTACTTTTAGCTCCCAAGAGGCAATAATAATTTTGGATCTAATTTTGCAGCTTTTATACTAAATGTACATATATCCAAGGAGAAAAACAATTTTTTTGTTTTCCTGCAGGTTACTGTGTTTGATTCTGAAATTTTCATAGTAAAAAAAAATGAACAATTGGAACATCTTAGAAAGGAAACCAAGGTCCTTAACTGTATACTGTGGAGCCTTTACTCCAGTATGTAGATGATCTTAATCTGGGAAAGAAGGAGTGTACAGGATCTTTCCACAAACGATAGAGGTCTAACAACAAAAAGTAAAAAATTCTAGATCAAGTGGTAGAGCACTAGCCTTGAGCTGAAAAGCGGAGGGAAAGTGCCTAGGCCCAGAGTTCAGGCTCCATGACCAGCAAAAAAAAGATTAAAAAGGACACAAGGTCATCTAGGGGAGGAATGAAGTGGGATAGATGAAGAGACAAGGAATTTAAAAGTAGCAAATATTAAGGGGTACAGACTGGACTGTAAAACCAGGAAGGAAGTTAAAAGTGACATACCCAAACAACAAGTCTGCCTTTTACCACACACACTTTTTTTTTTTCTTTTGTTGGTCATGGGGCTTGAACTCTGGGTTTGGGCGCTGTCCCTGCGCTCTTTAGCTCAAGGCGAGCATTCTACCACTTGAGCCACAGCACCACTTCTGGTTTCTGGTAATTACTTAGAGGTAAGAGTCTCACAGATTTACCTGCCCAGGCTAGATTTGAACGGCGATCATCATATTTCAGGCTCCTGAGTAGCTAGGATTACAGGCATGAGCCACCGGCGCTGGCAGCCACACATACTTAAAACATTAAGTTACAAGAAGAGGAGCCATAAAAGGTGCTAATTGCATCAGACTTCTTCTTTGAGATATATAAAGGTGTAAATTCGTTACAAAGAGTAAAAAGACCAAAGGAAGTATGTGAAAATCTGTTGTCTCTGTGTTCTGAGTAGGCACGAACATATTCATGTTTTAGAATAGTAAACAGCATCCATAGGTAAGAGCTACCATTCTGAATCTTTACTCCCATTCTACATCAAGGGACAGAAGTCTCACTCCTTTTTTTCTCCCCCATTTGTACCTACTTATACCTAAATAAATCCCTGACAAAACATTTTAAAAATGCATTCCACAGAGAAAGGCTAATAGAATAATTAACAAACTTGACTTGACAGACAGATGTGATTAACCAAAATTTAAATCTTCAAATAAAACTGCAATCATAAATGTTAACTACTAACTACATAATTATTTAAATGAAAGTAGGCAGAACGTTATGCATCTTCTTTACTAAATTATCCAGTTATTAGCTTTATATTTAATAATAAATATAAAAGACATTTATTTCTAGAGAATTACTAATGTAACATATAACTTGATGTTGGGTAGTATTAATTAGTTAGAAAACAGTTTATTGGTGACTTAATGGGCACAAACTATGGGTTAAGTCAGTGAAACCAAAGGAAACACATCAACTAGACACTGGAAAAACACAAGGAATAAGCAAAAAGACGGTTTCTATTTATTCTCTATTTATAAACTGTTCAAATTTATTCTGTTATGAATAGAAGAGTTTCTCATCCTAAGAATATTCTGTTATAAATAGAAGACTTTTCTCATTCCTAAGAGTAATGAGTTTTTCCTGATAAAGATTTTAGCAAAAGAAAAACTATGTGTAATAAAGCAAATAGATAGAAGTGATTATCATAAAAAAACAATGTGTTAAAGGGAACTGTAAAGAAGAAAGGTGAAGCAACCTAAGGAGTTATTAGAATAATATTAAAAGGCTGCCTATTGTCTGATTGCTTATTAAAATGTATTGAGATTCTGCATCTAAAAGAAAGCTTATTTCACTTACAATTTTTAATATTTTCCTGCAAATCACATATTTTTATTCCTGTTTATATTTAAATTAATCCTCCATTGTGTGTGCATAAATATGCACAAATAACATGTGTGTTTGTATATTTGTGCATGCGATAGAGACAGACAAAAAATATGATCTGTTTAATTCATTGGTCCACATATTAATTAGATTGTTGGCTCCTCTGAAGTTTAATTTTTGAGCTGCTGAGACATTCTGGTTAATAATGCATTCTTACATGAATAGCTGACAATAATTTTCTCTCATTCTGTAGGTACTCTCTTCATTCTAATTACTGTTTCTTTTCTTTGTAGAAGTATTTTAAATTTTGATTCAATCCCACTTGTCAGTCTGTGCTCTTATTTGGTGAGCTATTAACAGTCCTATTTAGGAAGATATTGCCTGTGTCTACATATTTTATTTTTATGTTTCCTAAAGTTTTCCTAAGTAATTTCAAAATTTCAGATATTACATTAAGGTCATGGACCCATTTTAAATTTATTTTAGTACAGTATGGATAATAAGGATGTAATTCATCTTCTGCATGTGAATATCCAGTTTTCCCAGTCTCATTTGTTCAAAAGGCTGTCTTGCAACTATTCTATTGTGTTCCAGTGGTTTATGTTTGTTTCTAGGCCATGATGTTTTTGTTAGTATGTTCTATAACATAGTTTGACATAAGGTATTATGATACCTCCAGCACTGCTCTGTTTGCTATAAAGTACTTTTGCTATTTAAAGTCTTCTGTGCTTTTATAGATTATCTATAAATTTACTGTTATCACAGAAAAGGAATAAGCCCATCTTTACCATTTCACTAAATAAAGCTGTATCACCATGTTACAGGCAACTGCTTTCTATGTAACCTTTAATGTTTAAAAACACATAATATAGTATTTAAAAATATATTAAACATGTATTTAAAAACACATAACATAGATGGGGTTTTTTTTTTTGGAGGAGTGCTAGTTCTGGTACTTGAACTCAAGACCTGGGAGTAATGCCTGAGCTTTTGTGCTCAAGGCTGGTAATCTATGGAACACAGTCCATTTTCAACTTTCTGGTAGTTTATTGGAGATAAATCTCACAGATTTTCCCTAGTCTGGCTTTGAACTGTGATCCTCAGATCTCAGCCCCCCAGATAGCCAGGATTATAGGCATGAGCTATCAGCAACCAACTATAACATCTTTTTTTTTATAAGCAAAGCATACCAGTTCTTTTTAACGAAATTGTGGAAATGAAATAGTTTACATAAGTACTACTTAAGAGAAAAACTTTACCAATATTAAAATGCCAAAAGATTTAAATATAAGAGGTATAATATTTCTAACTTTTATTTTACCTGTAGTGTGAGACTCTTCACTGCATTCCATACCATTCCAATGAATTCTTTCATTCTTTCTTCAGGACTTCTACAGCCTTCAGATATAGTCAATATGGCTTTTACAGGAACTGACAATGGTCGGGATTCTAAGTAGAAGAACACCAAATTATTTACAAGAAGCATAACTTACAATTTCTGAAAATACAGAAATTATTTTCAAAATTGTTTCTTTCCCTTCTTAAAATCATTACATCTACATAAGATTATACTATGTCACCTTAGATCATTCTCTATTGAATAACCACTGATTTTTTTGCAATTACTCAAGAAATTGATGGCAGAAAGGTAGACTTACAAAGTAATGGTAATGCTTTGTATATTTATTAATTTCCCTTTGTAAAATTTCATTAAACTGTAACTTTTTCATTTCTAATACAAAAGTAAATCAGTAAAAAAAAACTTCCTACAAAGTACTTGGTGAATTCTAAATTGATAGGGTATGCGTCTACTCATGGAAAGATATAGATTCTACTAATTTATAAGAATATACAAATTGAATATGCTTTAGTCTAAGAAACCTATTTATATTTATACATTTTATATTAATGTTAGTATGATTTATTTATTTATACTTTTATAATAGTATAAGTCAATCAAATCTTAGTAAATTAAGGTTAAATTAGCTCAGGATGCTCTCCAAAATAAGTGCTACCATGTAATCACCATAAAACTAGTCACCATGTCCAATCACACTTCTTCTTCCAACTTTGTTCATAGTTACTAGTTTTAAAATACATTAAGCAGGGGCCATGTCTAGTACCTCACAACTATACTCCTAGCTAACCAGAAGGAAGAGATTAGGAAAGTTGTAGCTAAAGGTCAGGCTAGGCAAAAAGTTATGCAGTCTGCATCTCAACCAAAAGGCCATGTAGGGTGGCACATGTCTGTGATTCTGCTGGAAAATCTTGATCCAAAGCTTGTCCTAGGTAAAAACATGAGAACTTTTCCAAAATTACATAAAAATAACAATCGCAAAAAGGGTTGAGTGGTGGGTCAAGTTGAAAAGCATCTAACCAGCAGGTAAGAGGGAGGTCCTAAATTTAACCCAACACTGCCAGAAATAAATAATAAACAAAATTCTTTTAAGGGTATGGAGCACAGACTTTTTTAATATTTATGTTCGCAATGACTATGAGAATGTATTTAAGAGATTCAAATAAATGCTTGTGAAAGAAAACTAATTTAGAAGACAATCACAGATATAAGACAGGTGAAGCAAAAGTTAGGCGTATGCTTGGGACTTTAAAGTAAGGTACAGAAGCAATGACTGCTTGAGCAAACTGAGCAAATGTACAGCTGAAGTCAAAGCTTCGTAGATGGTCAGATTATACAGAGCTTACGTAAGCTGTGGTAATGAGATAGCTTTTCACTGACTAGAACATAATCATTAATTCTAAATACACATAAGGCATATAATCTAAAATAATTTCTCTGGCTGTCTAAAACAAAATGGATTATACAGATCAAGTGTTGAAACAGGAAAATTGGGGCAGCAATAGCAATGGCAAGAAGTGATGAAATTCTATATCCATTTTAGCCATATACACAATGGGATTTACTGATGAATTAAAAGTACTATAGAAGAGAAAGGAGAATCAAGGGTCACTCCAAGCTAAGTTTTAGGTTGGAGCAATGTAAAGAATGGAATCAAAGGAAAAGAAGCTTCAAGAAGAAAAGAAGTAGTTTCAGATATGACAAGTTCAGACTTCCATTAGACAGTGAAGTATCTCAGTGACTATGGATAAAAAAATAGCACTAAAAATGAGTTGCTTCTTCAAAGGTTTTTCAGAATATTTGTGATTGAGATGCAAAAACTAAACTGAAAAGCATATATTCTGGGCAAAAATGGCAAAGGAAGTAGGTAAATCCTATAAAGAGAAAGCAGAACTAGACAAATCTACTAAGTTAATTTATTCACAACTCTACAACAGGTCTTTCTTTTTAAGTTCTTCTCTGAAGTGCACAGTTACAGAGTATGATTCAAAAATAAACTGACCTAAGATCAAAAATCAAAACTCTGAATAAGTATGTCTTGCTTCTTTGAACTTATTTAACTTTGTTTTTCATAACTTCCACTAAAGAATCTCTACACCCATCAATTCTTTCCTCTTACTGTTCTTATCCAAGTGAATTGCCATTCCTTGATCATTTCAAACCTTATTAAGGCCTAAGTCAAGTCATACCTCAATGAAAACTTTCTGTTCCTAAAGTCTTCTTTCAGGAAGACTTTTAGAAGAGGCTTCTGTCTCCAAATTTTCCTCAGTTCTACAAAGCCTACAGTACACATGGTTTTTCTCTTTCCAGTTATAGCCTGAATTCTGTCACATAGAAGCTATAACATGTACTTCTCTTAATTTCCCAAAGAGCTTATACTTAGCCCACAGTTCAAAACTCAAGATTATATTTACTGATTGCCTGATTAAGGTAAAATTTTACCTCAGTACTTTGGATTGCACTTTGATGATTCAGTATATTAAAACATAGCTACCTTTTTCTGCTGAAGCAAGAACATCCTAGCAGATTAGAGGCACCAACTGAAATCATACCAGAGTTAACTTCTGAGTGTTCAATAAATACCACTGGGAAACTGAACACAGATATAAAAAGTTACAGTGTATTAATTTAATTAAAGGACAGGGGTGAAAGGGGAGTAAAGAATATCATTGTTGCCAGGTGTTGGTGGTTCATGCCTGTAATCCTAGCTACTCAGGAGGCTGAGATCTAAGGATTGAAGTTCAAAGCCAGCCCAGGCAGGAAACTCCGTGACACTCTTATCTCCAATAAACCCCCAGAAAACCAGAAGTGGCGCGATGGCTAAAATTGGTAGAGCACTAGCCTTGAGCTAAAGAACTGAGCGACAGTGCCCAGGCCCAAGCTCAAGCCCACAACAGACCAAAAGAAAAAAATGAATGTGATTGTTACTCTCCTAAATAAAAAGAATGAGAAAAATATTTCATTCATTGCAGTAACATTATTTAACTTGCCCTTTAATATTCAAGACATCAAAAAATGTGATCTTTGAGTTGTGTTTTATGATTTTAAAGAAATTTCATGTGTTCTTTTGGGAATGTCTAATGACAGCAAAGCAAAAAAAAAAATGTTGGGTATATTTAATATTATCAAAAATAAAGATAAGGGTTGTCAGGTGCTGTAATCCTAACTACTCAGGAAGCTGAGATCTAGGGATTGCAGTTCGAAGCCAGGCAGGACAGGAAAGTCCATGAGACTCTTATCTCCAATGAACTACTCAGAAAAAAATCAGAATGGCACTGTGGCTCAAGTGGTAGAGTGCTAACCTTGAACAAAAGAAGCTCAGAGACAAGAAGAGCCCAGGTTCAGAGTTTAAACCCCAGGATCAGCAAAAAAAAAAAAAAAAAGAAAAAAGAAAAAAGATGAAGGTAGTTTAATGTGAGCTGAGGATAGGGTCAAAATTAAGTTTTCTTGGTCGTTGGTCTACTGACATCTATAATTGTGTACCAATTCCTTTTTTTAAAAAAAGTTTTAAAATGATACTTAATAGACATAAATTATTTCACAAGCAATATCATATTTAATCATTACAAAATCTTCAGCCAAGTATTGTTTACCCTAATTTAAAAACTGCATCTACCAAGGCTTGATCTGTATTTTGTGTAACTTCATTTTGTGATATTAAGTAACAGAAAGTGATACATTATTTTTAAAAATTTAAAACTTAAGCAACTTGTCATAGAACTGCAAAACTCCTAACACTTTACATCAAAATACAAGCTACATTTGATATTATCACTCTTGAAACCCTCTGGGAAATAATGGCTTTTGGATTCTGCAATCAGCGTGACATGGCATGCAAAACTGCATCTCATGCTGAGCCAACCAGGAAAATATATGTCATCACTATATGACATTCAGAATTTCATCTGGAAACTATAATCTTGTTCTGATGGCTAAAAGAGGGTGAAGACACTGCATAAAAAAACCATTTTACAGAGTTTTTGTTGAATTCTTCCAGTTTATATAAAAACTAGAACTAGGCATTTTTCTTCAAAACATTAATAAATGCACTTAGTAAATTCACAGTGTGTTCTTAAGAATTTCACAATTAACTGACAGTATAGTTCAAATGAATGAATTTCAGGGAACTTTTTCTTTTTAATGAACCAGATAAAACTGGAAAATAAATTGTGCTAAATGGAACTGAATTACTCAAAAATGGTGGCATAGAGAGGTGGAAGTGGGTGGATCATGAGGCCAGCCTTCAGCTATATATAAAGTTCAAGGTCAGCCTAAACTACGTGGTCAAACTGTCAGATAAGAAAAGAAAATAGGAAGGGGAGGGAGGGAAGGGGAAGGGAGGAAAGGAAAAAAAGCAAGTAAGCAAGCAAGCAAGCTGAGGATGATACTCAGTGGTGAAGTACAAGTCTAACATTTTCACAGCACTAGGTTCAATCCCCAGTGAGGGGAGAAAAACTTGTATTCAAACATCTCACATCGCTCCTAGATTCTTCCTTCACCAATACCTAGTTCATGTGTCTACCATCAGAGTCAATTTATATCTTTTTCATTAAAACATAAATATGTGAAAGTAATTCAGTCCAAATGTTATACCTCAACTACATTTTGTGTCTTTGTAAAATAAAGTTAGTACACAAATGGGAAAGCCTAACTCACAGAAATTAGAATGCCTAACTCTCAGATACCATTATAGGCCATGTTTCTGCTGTCTTTTTTCATTTTCTGGTACTATAACATACAAGAACATCACAACCTAATGTAAGATAGAAACTGGAAAAGAAAAAACTGATCACTTTGGTCACAGTCATTGTTCACGATGTGGGTACCTGATCCAAGGATTATCAATGAAAACATTCTGTGCACGGAGAAGAAAAAGAGAGGGTAAGGAGAGGTGAATATTATCTAAGTACTTTATATCTATACACAAAAAGATTCAATAATTAAACCTATTAAAAACTTCAAAAACATCCTTTTCCCTCAATTTGCTACTGACTTTTATTACTCATCTGATATTTTCTTCACTCAACAACAGTTTCTGACTTTCTCAGCCAATACTCTTCTCAGTTTAACTTGGCTCCTTGAGACCTACAAAAGTTTTCTGGATGGCCTTGGACCAACCATGTATTTTCCTCATTGCTTTGTAGTTCACACTAATAAGGTAGAAGGTACAGGGTATGCAACATCCTGACATAGGGAAGACCTAGCCAGAACAGCTCACTCTCTGTTCTCATCTTTCTTAGTACACTTCAACACTTGGCCTCGAAGTCCCATGGGTTCAGGATATAAAACCCAGGGAATGCTGCATTTCAGGGTCTCTCGGCAGTAGCTCAAGTGAGGCACAAATAATACTAAAATGAGAAACCAGCGTTCCAGAGCCCCAAGGGCCTGGCTCACAATGAATCCTCAGTTGTTGTCACTTGCTGTCCATCTGTAAGCAATAAATCCACTTCATGTAACTCTGGCACATGAGTGTGTCCTATCTCTTCAGACAAGCTAGTAAACACTGCATACTAAATCTGTTCACAGGATCCTCGTATGTGGTCCTATAGGAGAAGTTTTTTCCTAGGTATCCAAAACTTCTAGGTTATAACAGTAAAATAACAATGTTCTCTAAAAGTATAGTACACAAAACTACAAGACATATCATAAGGGTTTGGGGGTGGGAATATGAGACTATCTACTCATATTTACTTTAATCTAACTAGTATTTAAAAGCATACAGTTTAGTGATACATCCTATCAGAAGGCCACAGATAAAACTGTGCTAAGTATACTAAAGAAAGGGTGAATATTTGACAAGGAATAGTAATTGTTAAGGCCTTTAATCATACATTTGTTCTAATAATTTTGTGGCATACTAAGTTTTCTATACACATGGTTAAGTAGACATACAAAGCTTATTATCTTATTTTTAACTACATTAATTCTCATGATTTGATTAGATCTTCACATTTAAAGAATTTCTGCAAAAGGCATATAGCCAAACATAAGAGTATAAGATAAAACTATTTGAACAAAACAAGAAACCCCTTTCCACTGAATAGAAATGAATCTCTTATATTTGGAAGATGAAAATTTAGTAGCCTAATGTTACTAAAACTTTTCAAAATGGGTAAGACTGAAAATAAGAATCAAGAGTGAAGTCAATTTGTGCATTTTTTTTCCTTTTGGATCTATGTATATCAGCAAGGTGGATTTTAACTTAATGGCAGCCATTAAAAAGAACTACTGAAATAAACTGAATGAAACAATTTTTTAAAAAATAAATATATTTTTTACTGAAATAATATCAATGTATAAAAGGTATAATATTCCTCAGGCTGAAATACTATTAATACTTTATTCAAATTCTACCAGAGTACACTTAAATGATAAAATTGTCTTTCATGCTTTATAATTTAACATAGTGATCCATGTATTAAATGAAGAAACCAAGAAATGATACAATTCAGATGTTTGTTCAAAAATAGTAATAGGAATAAATAAACAAAAAAAAATTACATCAAGTGGCTGGGTGTGGTAGCTTATGCCAGCAATCTGGCTACTTGGGAAATAGAGATTGGTAAGATAGTAGCCAACCAGTGCAAAAACATTTAGTAAGACCTTCCTCAACTAATATACATAAATCCAAAAGAATATATTTGGATGACTACTTAATAATAAAAATATATAAAAATATACATTTGGATAGCTTAAGTATTTTTAAATAATTAAGTGTACTATTAGTCAGTAGCTGTCACATGCTCACATCTACTCACTAAGGGTCCCAGAGCAGGGATTATGCCTTATTTTTTTACCTCAATTTAACTTACAACAGTCATGCTTATAAAAACACTTAAAAAATACTATTCATGAACTGAAAATACAAAATCTTCATCAATATTGTAGGGTATATCTGATTTATAAGAAAAAGTACATGTAAGAGAATATAAAAAAATACTCTAAAGAAAAAGTGGTTCCTAATAAAATGAGGCTAAAGAAAAACACATGATTTACATGAAACGATACAGTACTTTTTTTTAACACAAATGGAAGTAAATCATTTTTGAAAGAATGCTTGTATCAATGACCTGGGTAAGAATGTGAGAGAGGAAAAAAAAGAAGAACACAACAATAGAGAAGAAAAATACAATTCTCCATGAGTCTTGTGAGCTTCTGTTAACCTTGAAATTAGAGGCAGTGACTGCTTTTGTTTCCAACTGTATTTTCAAGGTATTTGTACAGCAAGTACCCCAGAAGATAGAAATGTCATTTGTGTTAAGAACAAACAGCAAGTTTGCCTAGAGCTTTGCTTAAAAAGGAGCCATAGGGCCTTGCTCTAGAGCAAAGGGCAGACATGCTTTCTATTACAGAAGGTTCAAATGCCCTGTACACAAATGATGTCTTTCCTAGAACATATTCACTACATAAACATCACCTGTTCTGCTTCATACCACCCTAAGGGTACTAAAACCAAAAATGTTAATACTTGGGTTATTACTACTAATGTGGAACATAATGAAGTCCTTGGTATAAATACAGGAGTCTCATTCCTCTATAAAACATCAATGAAACTGGCAGACAAGCTCATTGGTTTACAAGTATACTAACACCCACAGACCAGTTACAGTTCTTGACACCTACCTGTTAATGTTTTTGTTTTCACAGGGCTGCTGGCATATTCAGAGGCCTGATATGACTGTTGCTTTGCTAAAGGTGCACTACCAACAGATAATTCATCCTCTTTCCTTCTGTTAACTGGCATAACAAGTGGGACAGTTACCACAGACTGCTGAAAGAGCCAAAATGGAAAAGCAAATTACTGCCTTTCTGCAGTATAAAGGTTAAACATGACAATACCAACAACAGTATTTTTCAAGTTAATGATAAGACTATTATTTTAAATCATTCTCCATTCCTCCATTCATCTTTCCCTCACAAATACTATTCCTCCTGCCCCATACATATCCCATGGGACAAGTGGCAAGACTCTCTCAGTGGATGTCTGACAATGGATTATACAAAGTATCATACAGTGTTAGTCCTATATATTCATGGATCCTATATCTATGGACTCAACCAACTGTGATCCAAATATATTCAGGGGAAAAAACTTTATCTGTATTGGTCTTTCTCTTAATATATAGCAATTATTTAAATACCTTTCACATTGTACTAGATATTACAAGTAAACTGGGGATGATTTAAACTATATGAGAAGAATGTGCCCAGGTTATATGAAAGCACTATGCCATTTTATGTTGGTTTCTCAGGGGGGTTCCTGGAATCAGTCACTCATAGTTACTAAATAACAATTATATTCTGTATATTCCTACTTACAGGTATCTAAATAAAGTTTAATTTATGAATCAAGCCTAAGATTAATAATAATAAGAGAACAATTATACTGCAATAAAGGTTATCTAAAATGTATAAAATTTTTATTTCTGAAATTACCTATTTCTTATTTTCAGATCATGATTACCAATTTTATATGAAAACCTAGAGATCTAAAAAGCAACCAGTTAATATAAATTGTAAAGGAGCATAAAGACAATATGAACAGGGCAAATAAAAAATGAAATTCTCTCTTCAAAACCTAGAAAACAGAAATTTATCAATATAAAACTAATTTATATATTAATAAGGGTGTAACTTTTTGAAGAAGTGCTGAAGTTCCTATACATTTTATGTGATGAAATAAAAAACATAAAATATTTGAAAGCATAGAAAAGTAACTCTAGTTAGAGAAAGCTGGAAAACATTACAATTTTATATTGAACGTATGAATGCTAAGATGAACAATAAAGCAGCTGTTTCATCTTTATTCACTGAAATAAAGTCTGATGTTACGATTGATGATACCCAATATAATACTGTCAAATTTTTGGCAAAAAAAAAAAGTATTTTTGATTAGGATCAAAGTTCAATGTTGAACTGTAAGAAAAAGAACCCTCAAATGTTGGGTTTGAGCCATAGCTGAGAATGAATGTGCAGCTTGGGAAGCAATATGTGATAGCTGTAGTATAGCTATGTCAGAAAGTGGATCTGACAGGAGCTAGCCATGCTGCAGTTTAATCAGTGTTACCCTCAATACCACAACATCCAATGTTGTACAGAAAATGTACAATGGCAATGAGAGAATTAACTTGTAAGGTAACAGCTGGGCTGAACAAGAGAAGAAATCTGAAAATGAGAAAATGAAAATTTTATTTATGTATTTAAATATAATAATATATTTAATATTAACTATATTTAACAATACATTTTTCATATATTGTTTTATATTATACATTATTATTTTTATGTATAGTATATATTGTTCGTCTAAATATAGAACCTATTTTAAATATAGTTATATATAAATACCTGCCTTCATAGTGAATATTAAGTCAAACTGGTCATATATATAAGAAATAAAAACAACAGTTTTTAAGACCCCCTTAGGTTTACCTGGGAGAACAGCCCCCTTCCTGAGCCCCCAACATAAGTCCCTGGTGGAAATACAGAAGTAGAGGGGATAAGGGGAAGAGGTCTGTTCTCCCAGGCAGACCTACAAGAACTAGAAGAGAAACAGAAATCATCGTAAGTTTTAATGGAAAGAGATTTTAGTTGTTGCTGCTAGCTTTTCTTATGGCTTGTTTGTTAATTTGTCTTTGGGAGGGTAAGAGGGGAGAGCACAGAAAAGGTGTGACAAAGGGAGAACAAATACAGCACTGGTACTCTCAAGACACTATGTGGAAAACGAACTATACAACTTGTGGTGAGGAATAGGAGGGAAAAACTGGAGAGAGTGGGGGAAGGGGTTACAAGAAATGTACTCTTCATCTGACTCACTTAACTATAAGCCCTCTGTACATCACCTTTACAATAACAATCAACTATATTTTTTAAATCGTAAGTTTTGATCATTTAAATTATCCCATCTATATAAAATGGGGGGGAAGGGTTGAAATGTTTATTGGAAACCTGTTTCATGCTTCAATGGTTAGTGTCTTCATAATCACTTAAATTTTTGTCTACCATTTATATACCTGGAATACAAGCAAACACTGTAGGATTAAAACTAGTATATTAAGTAAGTAGAAAAAATGTATGTGTTGGGCTGGGAAGGTGGCTCAGTGGTAGAGTGCTTGCCTTGCAGGCATGAGGCCCTGGGTTCGATTCCTCAGCACCACATAAGCAAAAAAGAAAAAAAGCCGGAAGTGATACTGTGGCTCAAGTGGTAGAGCGCTAACCTTGAGCTGAAGAGCTGAGGGACAGCGTCCAGGCCCAGAGTTCAGGCCCCACGACCGGACACCCCCCCCCAAAAAAAAAGTATGTGTTGCCCAGTGAGATACTGAATTCAAGTATAATAACTGAAAGATAAGATTATTGAATTCTAATTACTTCAAAAGAGAGTCCATGTGATTCTTATCTCCAATTAGCCACCCAAAAAAACAGAAGTGGACCTGTGGTTCAAAGTGGTAGAGCACTAGCCTTGAGAGGAAAAACCTCAGGGACAACACCCAAGCCCTGAGTCAGGGCCCTGAGTGCCCTGACAGAGTCCAAGCGGTTGCATTGGTTAACCCTTGTTCCTTTGTCTACCATTTTGTTGTTTCTCTTCTCTTCCCTTCCCTAAATCAGATAAACATGTATATAAGACAAAGGGTACCAAAATCAAATACAGTGACAACAGGGGATAAGCCAAAGGGGGTGGGGGAGAAAAAAGAAATAACTTGATATAGAAGCCCATATCCACCTCTCTCCCACATGCTGTGTAATATCAAATATCTGACATATACTCTTCACTTAAAAAAAGAGCATATATGTCAATATTAGCAGATGCGAATGGAAATTAATAATAAATTTTGTTGCCAGGCATTGGTGGCTTATACCTATAATCCTAGCTACTGCTGAGACTTGGAGAATCACTATTCAAAGCCAGCCCAGACACAGAAATCCATTGGACCCCATCACCAATTAAAAACAACAACAAACAAACAGATTGAGAGTGCATATCCAATTAGCCATCAAAATGCCAGACTGGAGACCATGGCTCAAGTGGTAGAGCACCAGCCTAGAGCAAAAAAGGCCACACAAAGAATGTAAGGCCTAGAATTCAAATCCCTGCACAAATAATGACAATAACCATTGTTGTCTAAACTGTCAAAAATTTAGTGAAAGACATGGTAACTGTCAAAAAATTAGTGAAAGACATGGTAGTTGTAATACTCAACAACAAACAAAACAAAAATATTTGGTTGGCTGAAACTAAGTGCATTTACAGATATGTAACAAAAGACCCATTGAGGACCTTATCAAGGACATGAGAGTTAGTATTCTACATGTTTTATTGCATTTAATACCTCAATAATAACTGTTTAATGTCTTTTCATATTCATGTCAGATACATATTGATACAGGAGAAAGAATTAGATCAGCAATAACTAAGTAACCTCTCACAGTTCCACTTACCTCTCACTGTTCCATAATCTCTTTTCCTATAAAAGATGCTCTTTTTTAATTAATAAACTACAAATATAGAGAATTATAAAGAATAAAATAGTCATATTCCCATGATAGTGGACGTGTTAATGGATATTAACATTTTGTTGCAGTTGTTTAAAGAAAGGAGATAAATTAATTACAAGATTAGTATCCCTTTTGACTGACAATCTACTTATTATTTGTCCCATGCTCCGATTCAATCACTACTGGGATATGTGTAGAACATCAAATTCAGTGTTTTTTTTTTAAGTAAGTATTTTTACTGTGAAAATACCATACAGAGGGGTTACAATTACATGAACAAGGTAATAAGTACATTTCTTATCAAGCATTGTTGCCTCCTCCTTTGTTTTTCCCCCTACCATCCCTGCCCTCCACACATATATGAACACACACATATTTAGCACTGGTCATTTTGAAAAATATATTTAACTGCTCTCATATTGCATATAACCTTGGGAATCACCTTTTTCATTTCATAGAACCTTCAAATAGCATATTAAGGTCTATCACATAGATTTTCAATAAGTATGTTTTGTCACGTGACTGTGCCATGCTTTACTTCCTCATGGGCACTTAGGTTGTTTCAATTTTATAATAATATAATAATATAATATGATTCCATATGCTTATGTAATAACATATCTACATTAAGAGGCAAAATTTAGGAACTATATTTTGTACATTTCAATTTTACTTGATATTTCAACCTTATCTTTTCCACTCACAATATATGAAACCACTATTAGCATTCTAACAATATTGTACATTAGCATATTTTCACCAAGCAAATTTAAAATGATGGTCAATGAGTTATACTAAAAATAGGTGAACAATTCATATGGGTCAACTATACTATATTCTCATTTTCCATGAAAAAAATTTAAAATAGTACACAAAAGACAACTTAGAAGTATTCTTTTGCACATTTCTCAATTATGGTTTTAAAAAAAGGGTAATTTTGCCGGGTGTCAGTGGCTCATGTCTGTAATCATAGCTACTCAGGAGGCTGAGATGTGAGGATCACAGTTCAAAGCCAGCGTGGGCATGAAAGTTCATGAAACTCCTATCTCCAATAAACCACCAGAAAACAGGAAGTGGCACTGTGGCTCAAGTGATAGAGTGCTAGCCCTAAGGTGAAGAGCTGAGGGACAGCGCCCAGGCCCAGAGTTCAAGCCCCAAGATTGAAGAAAAAAGAAAGTAATTTTATGAACTGCCGGTGAAAATGTAAATTGTACATCAATTGGGAAGCAATCTGCCAATATAACCATCTCAAAATGTGCTTTAAAAGTACAAAAATACATGTCTACAGCTCCTAATTACACTTTAAAAAATATATTCTCAGTGAATAAAGAGGAATGCAAAGCTTTAGCTTTTTGTATAATTATTCCAATTTCATTTGCAACTCTGAATGAGAGATTCCTCTCTCATGGTTTCTAAATTATCATAACTTTATAGGTATGTGTGCACATATGTATGTGTGTACGTGTATGTATGTATGTATGTATTTCCTTTTTCTGTGGTACTGTAGTTTGTACTCAAGGCCTCACATTTGCTAGTACAAACTAGATAATTATAGTTTGTAGGATATGACAATGAAATTGCCTGCATCAGGATACTGAAATATAAGTCTGACAGTTCATTTTACTGCTGTCACTTTCAAGATGATAAAGTATTACTTATTAAAATTTATATACCTCAGTAATGCAACTAGTATATGGCAAAATTGCGACATTGAACTGTTCTTTGTCATTTACATGGTTGTGGTTTCCCAGTATACTATCAAAATAGATTTGTATGTGAAAAAAATTAATATAATTGGAAAGGAAGAAAAAAGCATGATTTTTATAATTCTATAAAATTTGTATTATTTTAACAAGTAACTGAAATGTACAATCTAATGAATAGTTTATTAAGATTATCTAAGTTAGTTCAATTGATCTCTTTGCTTTATAAGCAATTACATACAAAGTTCCTTTTATCATCCATGGTAGCAGTAAGGAGGCTGAGCAGGAGATTCATGAACTCACCAGGTTCTAGTAGCTCATATCTTTAATCCCAGCTACTAAGGAGGCTGAGATCTGAGGACTATGGTTCAAAACTTAGGCAGTACGGTCTGTGAGACTCTTAACTTCAATTAACCACTTGAAAACCAGAAGTGGAAGTGAACTTTACAATTTCTGTGTGTGTGTGTGTGTGTGTGTGTGTGTGTGTGTGTGTGTGTGTGTGTGTGTGTGAGAGAGAGAGAGAGAGAGAGAGAGAGAGAGAGAGAGAGAGAGAGAGAGAAGAGAGAGGGGGGGGCATGGAATAGTGGAAGAAAAACGGAGTAGGTAACGTGTTCAACAAGAAATGTACTCATTACCTTACTTATGTAACTGTAACCCCTCTGTATATGCATCATCTTTACAAATAAAATAAAATTCTGGTTCAAAGTGGCAAAGCGCTAGCCTTAAGTTGGTAAGCTCTGGAACAGCTCCCAGACCCAGAGTTCAAGAGCAGAAAAAAAAGGAGGGAGGGATGTTAATTATCCAAGAAAAGTTTATGTTAGGCTGCAACTATCTATAAATAAAACTCAAGAAACAGAATTCTTTGAATGGAGTGGAGAGGAGATAAATTCTTTTATGTTACTGAAAGAGAATAAAATAGTATTTGTAAGTATATGTATCTCTTCTGAATAGTTGAGAAAAGGATTTACTCATTAAGGAAAGAACACAGAAATCTCTCACCTGTTGCATGTGTCTACTTGTTCGTTTCTGAGGCTGGTAGATAAGCCATGTATGTAATATTGGGTCAAGATTAACTGCTAGTCCTTGAACACTACAAAGAAGTACAGCACCTAAAATACAAGATTCATTTTTTAATTCCTCATAAAATAAGCTTGATTGCACTTTGCAAGTAGGATAATTATAAGAAAGGTAACAAACAATAAGTGTTGCCAAAAATTAGTTCATACTCCTTCAAGCTGCTAGTAGAAAAGTAAAATGGGGCAACCACTTTGTAAAATCACATGGCATTTCCTAAAAAAAGTAAAAGTATAGTTATCATATGATCCATTAATTCCATTCTCTAATACAAACCAAAGAGTAGAAAAAGTATGCCTACATAAAAAACTTGCATTCAAATTTTCCTATCAGAATAATCTATACTACCTAAAAGGTAAAATACTACAAGTATCTATGAACAGATGTATTTAAACAAACAAAAAAATTCATTCACATAATAAAAAATTACCAACCCATAAAAACTAATAAACAACTAAATGGATAAAGCCTGAAAACATGCTAAGTAAAGCAAATCATTAGGGTAAAAAATAAAAATAAGAAAGGAAGGAAAAAGAAAAACATACCCTATTTTCCATAAAGGCAAAATGATAAGAACAGAAACAAAAAGAGCTCAGTTGCTGGCAGGCCTGGGCAGTAGCATAATTTGAAATTGCTAATAATAGATATGAGCTGTGCTTATGGAGAGGGATGAAATGTTTTAAAAGTAGAAAATGGGATGTTTACATCACTGTAAATGCAATATCCCCTGGTATCCAAAGTGTTTTGATATAAAGACCCCACATGAATATCAAGATCTATGATATTCAAGTCATCTATACAAAATGCCTATGTGTGTTCTCCTGTACATTTTAAATCATCCCTATATTACTTGCAATACCTCATGTAACATAGAATAATTATTACACTGCATTGATTAGTAATGCGGTATTAAAATAATGTGAGAATAAACAGTAGGCAGATTGTCATGGTCACTGAAAAAAAAGTCTATATGCCTGAGTATGAGGTAGATTATACACAATTTAATTGGTATAAATACCAATTATGATGCTTTATATCTAATACAATTTTAACCAATAAAACTGACATAAATAAAATCCTGTAAAAAGTGACCCACAGAGAGAATAAGTAGAAAAGAGATTTCATCTTTATTCATTTGCCCAGAATATTCAATTAAACAAAAGTTTCTATATGTATTGTAGGGCCCAAAGGCTCATAATCAGAATAGATGTCTAGGCAGCACAGTAAGACAACATAAACAATAACCCCTCCCATATACTAATGCCAATACTGGTGAGCAATGATTATTAACTCAAGGATAAGTAAAGAGAAGTTGGAAATGACTGCCATGAGAATTCAAAAGTAAAGTTAGTTGGAAAACTCTAATAAATTTTCTTTATTACATTGTAAATATCTCAATAAAGCAAATTCTTCAATCTTTCAAATACTACAAGTATATAGAAAAGGTTTCAAATTTAGAATAACTGATACCTAGTATGGATCAGATTTGTTAAGATTAATTCTGAATATGTTTTATAGTATTGTGATTTAGTATTTTAATCTTGTTGGTTGCTATGAAATGATCCACATCTGGCTTAAATTTTAAATATACAGTACAAAAATCATATACATATCTTTCTTTTTATAGATTCAAGTAGAAAGTCAAATAAATGTTTTTATTATCGTTATTCTGTGAATGAACTGAAAAATAAGTCTTTGTAGTTATCCACATTTCAAAGGTATCAATGCTTTTTTTAAAAATCTGGCATTAGTAGATATCAGAACTGACTCTTTTGAAATTAATATTTAAAAGATTTAGTGGTTTATACCAAAATTTTATTATCAGAGCTGTGGCTCAAGTGGTAGAGTGCCAGCCTTAAACAAGAAAAGCTAAGGGACAGTACCTGAGTTCAAGCCGCAGTACTGGCACCAAAAAAGCAAATATATACATACATACTATTGGGATAGGGGGTGGGGGATGATGAAGGAGGTGACCTTGAACAAGATGGACTATACTCATACTGATCTTGAATTGAAACCCTTTTTGCAAGTACTTAAAGATTTTTTAAGTAAAAATAAATCCTTACTTCAAAATTAAATGCAGTGGTTTCTTGACCAATATTAGACAAGTATATATTTTCTTACATTTAAGATCATTATTTTTCACTTTACCTGGGATCTAGAAATACAATTATAGATATCTAACATTGCTACTTCCAAGATACTACCCACATTCAATCAATGATACTACTCCAATTAAGTTTGTTTTCTTACTATTTCAGAAATTAAGGTTGCTTTTTAAGTGTAAGAATAATAAAATCATCTCAGTTTAAAACATTACAAAATTCAGAAAACTGTGTTCTTCATATATCAAAACCAAACAAAGATGACTCCAACGTTTAGATTTTTTGGAAAGTAACCAGAAATAAAATAGTTTCCCCCACTAGATTTGGTTATTTTTAAGGGGAAAAAAAAATCTATGGCTGACACATACAAATGTTCATGTTTAATGTGGTACTTTTAGTACTTTTTAGTGCTTTTACTAAAAACATTTAAGGGTAATATAGACTATTACTGTTTCAAGCCACACAGAATACCATATAGAATAGCATTGTTTGGAAACATGCCCAGGCTATATGCTACCCAACAATGATTCCAGTTTTTCTATCTTCTGTATATAACTAAACCAAAATACTCAAAATACATGTAAATTTGAAGAACATAAGTACTAAATTTAGGAGAAAGTTCTTAAAGTTATAAACTTCATAAGGGTATAAGGAAAAGTGATGAAATTAGAGGCTTCAAACTTCAAGGAGTTCTAATTTCTAATTTCTGGAAGGAATTACCAGTATTACCAGTCTTTCCAGGATACCAAAACTTTTTAGGGCAAAGCATACAAAAACAGAATGCAAAAAATCTGATGCATTATTTTTATGGCAATTAAAAACCAATCATGCCACGTACAAGTGGCTCATGCCACTATCCTAGCTACTTAGAAAGCTGAAGATGATCATAATTAGAAGTCAATTTGTGGCAGAAAATTCCATGAGACTCTTGGCTGGCATACTCCCACTTGAGCCATACCTCCAATCCCACTTTTTCCTGGATAATTGGATAGTCTCTTGAAAACTACCCTCTGGAGGAACTAGGACAAGAGCTGTGAGCCATCACTGTACAATTTATATTTCTTTAAATCAAACTAGCTTAAATACATTAGGTACATAGAGCAGTGTGGTCAAGTCACATTATTAGCCAAGAAGTTATACTATGTTGTGTTCCATAAGATACATTTTTTTCTAAGCTTGTAATGAAGTTAACAGTTTTGTCATAATTAGAAATAAATCTATTGCAATACATGCTAATAATGAAAAGCCTGAAAATCCCACAGTAGTGTTTTCTTTACATCCAAGTAGTAACTAATTCAGGGACTTTGAGAATACCTACACTCTCCATATGTTTAAACTATGTAAAGAAAATAGACTTCAGATTAATAAGATGGTAAGATGTAATCACTGTATGCTTTAAGGGAGATGATGAAAAAAGCTATATACCAATTCAAATTTTTTGTTCTGCTGAAACGAATCACTTTTTTAAATGTCCTTAATAATCTGCATCTGAAATTATGAGATATAGAACTAAATGCTATACTGATATTTGATATGGTTACAATTGCTAAAGAAAATTCATGCTATTATTTTTACTATATTATTATTTTGTTAGTACTCTACTTATAAAGTTCAAACCAGAGCATAACGTTCTCTATTTCCAAAGTTTTGAGTAATAACTGCTTGTAATCATGTTTCCTATAAAAAGCCCTCTTAACATGCTGAAATGACATAAAGATCTAAGAACAGTTCTATGTTTAGCTTTCCCATAATTCTAGAGGTGTCACGTGCCTGGACCAAAAGTTTGCTGAGTTTATATTAAGCTCAAGTAACAAACCTAGGAAACAAACTACTAAGAGAAAAACAGGAAGACTGTTTCATACAGGGGAGGAAGGCTGTGTAAGCATATTTAAAAAAATAAAATTGGTTATAATTAAAATGACAATCACAGGATGTACTTTAAACAAGGCATTATAGGACATCCTTGTATAGATACGTATGTACATAATATGTATGTACATGCCTATGTATATATGTGCACATGTGTATTCATGTGAGAGTGTATGTGTATACAATATATGCTTGCCTAAAGGAAACATGAAGTATCATACCTTTTCTGTACTTATGTCCTTAAGATAGCTGACAAGAGAGAAAACTGTTCTGCCCCAATTGTCACCAATTCCTCAACAAAGTAATTCTTCTACATACTAGTCTTCCAGTAGAAAGAGTAGGGAACTTTGTCTTATAACCCAAGTAGCCAAGATGACCATCCTAGATAGTATATTTCTATAAAAGGTATTTTAATCAAATTCATAAGTGCATTATACTTCCAGCAGTACATTTCTGATATTCCTCATTGAGAGGAGATTCTCTCTCTGGTGAACTGTAGTCTTGTTTGCTATTTTACTTTCATATAAATTTACTCCAAGAAACTATACACACCCTACAAGTCAAAATCAGCCTGCCCCCAGTTTTACAGACTACAAACTAGAAATAGTTTATACATTTTTTAAAGCCCATTCTGAGGCTTGAACTCAGGGCCTGGGCACTGTCCCTGAGCTTTTACTCTCAAGGATGATACTCTACAATTTGAGCTACAGCTCCACATCTGGCTTTTTGATGGAGATAAGAGTCTCACAGACTTTCCTGCCTCGGTTGACTTCAAACCCCAATCATGAGATCTCACCCTCCTGAGAAGCTAGGAGGATTACAGGTGTGAGCCACCAGCACCCAGTGGTTTATATGTTTTAAATCGTTACAAATAAAACAAAAAATAAGGGTAGCTTATATATTTTGCTTTCAAGTAAAAAATCTAAAAGTATTCAAAAGAAGAATAACATTAAAGAAACAAATGGATAAACCTAGAACAAATCATGCTAAATAAAGTAAGCCAAGCTCCCAGAGACAAAACAGCATATATTTTCTCTCAGATGTGGAAGCTAGATCTAAAA